TTTTTTTTTTTATTTTTTTTTTTTAATAAACTTAATAGAGGTAATTAACATGAGTTTTTTCCCCTAAATTCATAGAAACAATTAGGTGTTAGGTTTACTGACGTTTATAAATGTGTAGGAATCTTTTAACTCATTAAAGTGACTGGTAATGATTAACACACTAATTTTCTTAATGTATGATATAAATCATAAATGATTTCTAAGATTTCATAAATGTTTGTTTTTTTTATTTATTTTATACAAACAGAAAAAAAGTTTGGTCAAATATTTGAAGGAGCCATGTACCGATACATCATCCAGATTTTGTCTTCTACGTTAATCATAATTACTTGAAATTACAGACTACACTTCGATCGGGGCAACAAGTGGGAGACAAAATTCCCTGTAATACCCCTACGTAAGTCTTTTGTCTCTCAGTGATAGTCCTTTAGGAAATGGCAGTGGAGTTCCTTACGTGTTCATTAATACTCCGTTCGACGCTCCAGGACAGGATATCGAAGTAAATCTTTACAAAGCCATTCATGCATAATATGCCACATGGTTGACTTTCTTAATGTTGAAATTTTTTTAAATTACCACTTAGGAAAACCAAAACGCCACCATGATGATGTCGTTGGCTCAAGGCGATTAGTGTGCGTACAAGAACTACGATCCCATGGATCCGCGTTGCGCTCGAGTCACTCTCGCCGGTAAAATGAAGAAAGCGCGTATTTCGAATGGCATATGCTTATTGCTCTATTTTTATTTTTGATTGGCACAAAATAAAAATAAATATAAAACTACACGCTTAGATCGACAAAGAGAACCCAGAATTCGCGAGTGCAAAGGCAGGAGTTTTCGGACGCCATCCTGTCTCATGTGCCAGCGAGTAAGTAGCATATAAAAGAAGTAAAATTATGGATAACTAATTGCCTTCCACAAGATAATGCATTAAAATTTTTAATTTCAGGTCACGGCTTTTACTTCGCCAAAATAGAAATCGAAACTATGACCGTTTTTACCAAGTTCGGAGCACCATCAAATGTCACTCCTCAGGACTACTATACGGCGCTGACAAACGAGCCTTAGCCCGATACACTCGTTCATATAAATGAAAAACTTTACATACACTGCAATAATCATCAAGATCAATTTTTTAAGTCCATGTATGTATCATGGAAGTAATTATAAAAAAATAATGTAAAAAATTCTATTAATTAATAAAAAAAAAGTTTGTATTATCGATGGAAGATTTATTTTATTTACTAAGAAAAGTTTTCATTATTATTATTTCAATAGAATATCGATATAGCTCTAATGTGTGATGATTATCGTTTATTCGATAACAAATAACAAAGCCGATGTAAAATATTCTTATCAGTTGTGACCGCAGCGAAGAGTCAAATGTAGACATACTGATTAGAGTCTTTTTAAAAATATGCCTTTCAAGCACGCAATAAATCTTGTTTGTGAGACGGACTAATCAAATATCCATTAAACATATCTACAAAAAGTTTACTGATTGTCATGAAGGTGAAAAAAAAAATGGATGATTCAAAATAATAAACATTAATAAATTACAATACATGTGTTATCTTAATTTATTTCGGCATAATCGAAATATTAACCAATAAATGATGAATACATTTAGATTAGGTAAACATGTAGAGTTCGTACGAGCTTCTGCCTCGTGTATCGCTATCAAATAAAAGCCCAGGTTTTAAGCTTTTTTCAGGTATATTGATTTGGACATCAAAGGTAATATAATCATACAAGATAAAATAACAAGTGAAATAAGACAAAAAATATTTCGTAAGGGAAAAACTTTAATCCATTTAACATTTTCTATATACTATTGCTTGAAAAAAAAATTTGTTTGTGCAGTTTAAGAAGTCATTAGTATAGAATAAGAACGTGAAATTGGTTTTCAGAAAAAAAATGGAACTCTTGGGAATATTTGTCTTGGTACTTGCCGCAGTGGCAACTAATGCTGGTGTGGCTAAAAAAATACGTCAACCACCGAGTCCCGACAAAGTAGCCTTAATGGCCCGTTTCATCGTCAACGAATCTAGCAAGTCATAATTTTTATGTTTTATATCAACCTTGGGCTATTGAGTGAAGTTATTGTATGATAACTTTGTTTTTACAGACTACACCGCGATAGGGACGACAAGTGTGAGACAGAATACCTTAAACTATCCCTACGTGAGTCTATTGTCTCTGAGCGATGGACTCCCGGGGAACGGCAGTGGCGTCCCTTACGTGTTTATCACTCCACTGGACCAACCAGGACATGATGTTAAAGTAATACATTTCTTTCAATCACCTTGACGGGTGATTGGTAAAAAAAGAAAAAAAAAAAAAAAAAAAAAAAAAAAAAAAAAAAAAAAAAAAAAAAAAAAAAAAAAAAAAAAAAAAAAAAAAAAAAAATTGTTTTCCAGAAAAGTGAAAATGTTACCATGATGATGTCGTTGGCTCAAGGCGATTGGTGTACGTACAAGAACTACGATCCCATGGATCCGCGTTGCGCTCGAGTCACTCTCGCCGGTAAAATGAAGAAAGTGCGTATTTCGAATGGCATATGCTTATATTGCTTTATTTTAACGTTTGATTGGCTTTAGCTGTACAAAAGGAAAACAAGTGAGAAATTATATGTTTAGATCGACAAAGAGAACCCAGAATTCGCGAGTGCAAAGGCAGGAGTTTTCGGACGCCATCCGTTGCTGTCTCATGTGCCAGCGAGTAACTATACAAAATAATGAACATAAGTAAGACTTGAGTGATTTCATGATGAAAAATATTAACTTGGATGTTTGGATTGTTAAAATTCAGGTCACGGCTTTTACTTTGCTAAAATGGAGATAGAATCTATTTTTGTTCTGTCTGATTTTGGAGGATCGGCGAACGTCACTCCTCAGGACTACTACAATGCTGACAAACAGGAATTATCTCGATACACTCGTTTCTACAAGAGGTAATCATGCCAGATGAATTTTCTTTATTTATATTGATACACGTATCAGGCATGTAATGAATGCGATGAGTTTTTCCTGATGTATAAATTAATTTTTTTGTTTTTGGGAAATTTGTATTTGATTATCTTACCTCAAAGAATTGTGTAATTATTTACTTTCTCTCGAAAAAAGGATATTATAATTTGAGGGGTATCAGTACGTAGCTGAATCCAACAATGAAAATAATAGAGCACATTTAATATTATCTTATCGTTCGTATGCTTAATCATGATATGAAAAGTGATTTAAAAGCACATTTACAATTGTTTCTGATTGTATCATAAAAAAATAAAAAAATAAAAATTGCTTTACATATTAACGTCTACAAGAAGTTTAAATTCGTTTAAATCGTTGAAATCGATGTTTTAGTGAAAAAAATTAAACTATTCGTAAAATTAAAAGTGGAATATCATTTTTAACGTGAAAAATCTTGAGTATAAAACCAGTGAAGGAAAAAACATACCACTTCCCAATAATAGAGAGTATGTCTGAATTTATTTCGTGCTTTTCTTTTGATGCACTTATAAAAAAAAAAAAAAAAAAACGAAGTATGATCTTTTGTTTTTCACCTGCGTCCAAAATGTCAAACGTCAATTAAAAGCTACGCATTAAATAATAGTGCCTACCTTTTTTTAAAAAAATACCGATCAACGATCCCTTGACATTTTACCGAACGAAAAGCCGCACTCGATATTTTAAGAAACAAGAAACGTGTTTGGTAAAAATGAAATTCAAATTTTTCAAAACTCATATAGCTATGTGCTTAATTTCCAAAGATACGAATGAAAATTCAATCCGAAACAAGCATCACAATTAACAAAATCCAAAGTTCCGTTCTTCGTAAGCGCCTACGCACTTACAACCGGTCCGACTCGATCGTGCTTTTACTACTCGTATTGCAAACATCGATCGGTTTGATTTTCATCGCACAAAAATACACACCACATTGATCTACTTGCTAACAATGCCAATATTGCATATGTTACGAATGGTACCAGTAAAAGAATCAATACAATAGACAACATTGTACGCTATGATTGCAATGTTGTATAAACGATCACCAGTGACTGCAGCGATACGTTTGTGGATATACATAAGTACCTATATGCATAAAATTTGCGCGTAAGTTACAAAAGTTCAATTCATCGTACGTCATCGTACACGTGACGATATACGAGGTAGAGTAGAACACTGCAAGCTGACGATCATCTCGAACTGCGCTCCTCCGAGTTCTCACGAAAGTCGCGGTGGTGTCTCAGTGATCGCAGGCGCGTCGACGGAGAGATTATACCGTCCTTTGCTCTCGTCTTTGTCGTCGCTGTAAAGCGGAGAGAGAGAGAGAGAGAGTGCCTGCTTTTTAACTCATACCTACATATACGTGTGCAACATCAGCTGACTTGGAGATACAAATGTTAAAAACAACGATTGACGCGTTTATCGTGCGGTAAACATGGGTGGAGATGACGAGCAGGTTTTTGTGTTTTGATTTTTTTTCAAATTATTTTCAATTGCACATCGCTTGAATCGAGACTATTTGAAAATTCGATCCGATCGCATTAAGTTGAGCGGGTGTCAAGGGGACCATCAGGTTTTCGTCCATCAGCAGCGGCAGTGAACAATTTAACGATCGTCGTATTCAAATCGACGCGAAGGTAAATAAACCGATTAAGTAGTCACTCGATTGAAAATATTTTCATTAAATGGCTCTGTTGCTCAAATAACTATGATATCGACCAAGTTTTACGATTTTTTTTTTTTT